ATTAATATGCAACTGCGGAGGCCCAGCAAACAAGCTGCAATGAACGTGACATGGAATATAGAAAAGAGGGGAAAGGAAAACAGGAAGTACTAGCTGTGACTATTGCAGATCAAAACTGTAACTGTTGAAATATTTTTTGCATTAATATTAGCTGCCATAGCATAAACTTACGGTTGCCTAATTAGGCTTAAGTGTTTTGATCAGAAAAAAAAATCACTTCTGCGTTTTCCATATTTATACTCCCATTATCTCAATTTTTTTTCATTTGGGGTCTGATCCTGGATTCATTGAAACCAGTGCCACTGTTCACATTGACTTGACTAGATGCAGGATTAGCCTATTACTTTTCTGTTTCATCAGGTATGGGAGTTTGGGATCATAAGTGATTGCAGCCCAAGTTAAGTACATGTGTCACTTTACATGCACAAGTAGACCTGTTGAAGTCAGTGGCACTAATCCCACGAGAAGTTACGTATGCAGTTAAGTGTTAGCAGGACTGGGAGCTTAGATGGCAGTTGTGTAGTGGCTGCATGCAGAAAAGAACACAGGTTGTTCTTTATTATTGCATTTGAAAAATCTAATTAATAGTTTTACTGAAAGTCTAAAACCAGGTTGCTGGGGAGTTGATGAAGGCAGGTATAATACAGCTATTCACTCAGAAGGAAAACGCCTCTTCATAAGCCATGCATGCAGTTTGCTTATTCATTTGCAAATTCAGAAGGCTAGTAAGCATCAGGCACCTTCGTTCACCATTGTTCCTTTCCCGTCTCTATCGAAGGTTGATCCCGCTTGCTTTTTCCTAGAGCTGCTTTTGCAATTCAAGTATGTGCTAGCTACAAGAGTTTGCAGATGTTTAATTCTCAGTTATTTTAGGAAATTGGGTTGGAGTGGAGGGGAAGCCACAGCTGGTCTTGGCTGTGGACTTTCCAAGTTTCATGCTTGGAAAGTGAGCTTGGTCTGTCGACGGCTGGGTCACGTCCTCTGGAATGCATTTGTGATGTCTCATGCTATTTTTCCATGCAAGTCTCCTCTGTCTTGGGACTGGCTTTTCAGATCATCAGACAGCTGTGAGATTTCTCTACAGGTGACGTCTCTTTGAGCTGCTGGGAAGGTCACTGAACAGTCCTTGGTTTATTAGTCTCTCAAGGCTCGTCTACAGAAGGAAACTGACTAGTTATTCCAGAAAAGCTATGCTAGTCTGCTATAGTTCCACATGTGGAAGTTATACAGAAGAGTTATTCCAAAATGGCTCTGCCGGTCACTTTCAGCTGTGTGGATTAAGGCCAGAAGGGCCGCTTGGATCAAGCTGGTGTGACAACCTGCCGCTCCATGGGCCTTAAATTTCATCCAGTAACATGTTTGGCTAATGTTGCTAGTACCTACAGCATCCTGGAAAGTTAATCAGTCAGACAGGGGCTGCTTTCCAAAATACAAAACCCTTTACTGTCTCCTAGCTGAGCTGTTGTCACACTGGGCTCATGTCATGGCCCTATGCTGACAGGATCAGGCAGAACAGACAACCCATCTCAGTAGAGAAGACAGACTGTTCCTTACACTATTCTGGAACCTGAAGGGAGGGGGAGACTATTAGACTAACTGCCAACAGAGGAATGATTGCAGCAGTTTTACATTAAAACTTTACCCTCCTCCCCTCAGTGTGCAAAAAAGGGAGTTCTTGAAAAGCTGCACGAGGGGTGAGAGTTTGCACAGCTTCCCCTTTCTGACTTCACTAAATCACAGTACACGATCAGGGGGTTAAAATAATGTTTGTTTTTTTAATCTTTTCATTTAGAATCGAGCATGATCACAAATAATTTTTCATATGAACACAATACTTTCCCTCCCCCACCCTATAAATATGACAGTTCTAAGCCTACGTTGGTAACTGGTTTTTCAAAGGAAAGACGATGCAGTACTAAAAGCACCTAACCGTTCCTCAATTGATGATTTCTTACCTCAATTCTGTTTACGTACAATAATGACTCACCATTTTGTTTTAAAGCAGTTGTACGTAATCATGTTTTGTTCACTGCCCCAATCACTAGGTGATCCCTTAACCATAGTTAATTGGGTTGTTTGAGAAAAATAGGCATTTACAAAGCTTCATACTCGAATTTTGTGGAACATAAGAATAAAGTTTTAGGATACTATGCGTTGTCTGACTGGATCGGACCCTGAGGCCAGCTAATCCAGTACCTGTCTGCAACAGGAGCCAGTACTGAGTGCTGCAGGTTAAGATGAAAGATAATTTTGGGAGAGTAAACAGGAGAATAATTCGTTCCCCAACTGAGGGCTCAACCTCTTCTCTACTACTGTGCTCAAGCCCTGAAACAGGATTGTTGGTTACAATTTACTTATGTTTATAGCAGGACCCTGTAGCAAGGGTGTTTTCCTGCACAGGGAGAGGTGCGCTGCTGTTCTTCGGGTCAAATCATGCAGCCTGTGGCTATACAAGCAGGAGCATTAGAAGAGGCCCAGAGAATTCAGCATCTTTCAGAGTTCAGCAGATAGCCTGGTGAGAGGTGAGTTAGAGCAGCTGCCGGCTCACAGAGGGAAGCCTGTGGGCCAAATCGCATTGGGGCTGCATGGAAGCATCCATGGGCAATCCCAGCAGAAGTTATTACTGCTTGAATTAGCAGTAACGTCCAGTTCTGGTTCTGAGGGGAAAGCTGGGGCAGCCGTAGGGAATATGGATGCACCAAGCACCTAGTCTGTCGCATCACCCCCAGCTACCTCAAACCATCGTCTGCGCGGGTGTGGAGCCCTGAGTCCATCGACCCCTCGTAGCAGAACAAGCAGGGGCTTGAGGCCCTAGAGGCAGAGCAGCAGCGCTGACAATCCCCATCGTGCTCTCCCCTTTCCCAAGAGAGTGCTCGGGTCGGCTCCGCCACGAGATGGGGGAAGCTGAGAATTGGTTTGGTGTGTGTGGTTTTTTTTTAAACCCACCCCAAACCAGTCTGCTTATTTTTTGTGTCATTTGACCCTCCAGGACTCTGTAGTGTCCAAGTTCCACCAGCAGAGGGCACTAAGTCCCCATCTGTTCCACACCTATCCACTGCACCTCATGTAAAATATAAAACCATCACCAGAACATCTTAATGGAAACGTCAACCCACTACTCTGTAGTTTAATGGGATCTCCATTCTCTGCCATTGGTAAACGTAATAAGCTATCCCTTCAGATCTGGCAGAGTTAAGAAAGAAATAGCAAGTTCAAGGAGAAAAAAAATGCAGAAACCACTGAGTGTTCAGGTAGCAAACGTTTAGATTATAAAAATTATTGACCTAGTAGCCACATAAGCATCAACACTTTGACTGGAGTGGCTAATGCTGAACGCACTTCATAAAGGCATCCCCCTGGCTGTGCAAAGATTGATGATGCAGGGGGGCACCTGGCCAAGCCCGGCCCCTAACTCTAGGCACTTTTGAACAAAAGTTGAGATCCTCCCATGATTCTGGGAGCTGGCGCTTTAAGGAACATCCCAGCTAGCGTGAGACTTGCAATAAAAAGCAGGACAATTAAACGTCAGGGGGGATTGTGGGTGCTCAGCATTTGTTAGGCCCTTTGACAGATACACTGAAGAATTCTTCTCTGAACTGCTGAGGAAGGTGAATAAAAGACACCATCTCTGGGGTGTGTGTGCTGCAGCAAGCGAACTACGTCTGCTAAACTAGCAGTTCGACCTTGGAGTGAGCTGTGACACGCTCAGTACCGTTTCCAGACCCGAGGAAGAGCTCTGTGTAGCTTGAAAGCTTGTCTCTGTCACCCACAGACCGTGGGCCAATAAATGATATTACTGCCCTCCCCTCCAAGGCTCTGAAATAAGATTGGCACATTCAATTTGCATAAAAAGGAGAGCTAGCAAGCAAAGAATGCTTTTCCTGCTCCACACCTCTGCTTTCCCAGGTACGGGGGAAGCAGATTTCTAGGGGGAACATTTTAGCTCAGTATGCAATTCCTGGGGTGGGAGTCAGTCCCTTCTAAGAGGCTGGCCAGTAAAGGTGGGATTATAGCACAGCTAGGCATACCCAGGGGAGCTTTAATCAGCCTAGCACAGGTAACAATAGCAGTGAAGGCACAGAATTTGTCACGCCCCGTGCTCCATTACCACCCTTACTTCTGTGCTGCTGCTGACGGCGGCACTGCCTTCAGAGCTGGGTGGCCAGAGAGCAGTGACTTCTGGCTGGGGTGTTCACGTGGTTTGCAGAGCAGGAGGACTGGGTTTTTTTTTTTTAAATCCAGCACCTGCCCCACAATACCCAATCTATTTTTATCCTGTTCCTGCTATTATGGCAGTGGGTCCTGTGGGACCCCAGTTTCTTGGCCCTCCCCAGAGAACCTCTTGTGGCCCCCCCCAGTTTGCACACCATTGGTTTAAGCAGTACAATGCCCCCTAGTGAGGATGCAGGTATAGCTGTTCCTATGCAGGAAGGGGAATGATATTCCCTAATTCCTATGTAGCACTTTTCATCTGTAGATCTCAAAGCACTTTACAAAAAAAAAGGGAGCATCATTATCCCCATTTTTACAAATGGGGAAACTAAGGCACAGCAGCAGATCTAAGAACTAGAACGCGGGCTCCATAGGATAAGGCAACATTAAAGGGATCCTTTCCTTACATCTTTCTTCTTTTGCCCCCGACACCCTCGTTTATGCGTCACTTCAAATGAATTAGCCCATAGACAACAAAATGACCTGAAGATGTCACACAAAAACGGATTCCCCCCCCCCCCCCCCCAAAAAACAAAGGTACAATTTTAGCAGACCCCTGGGGCTTTCGCTGAGAAGTAGTGTCCATGCTGCTGCGTCGTGACATTTACTAAAAACAAACATGAAGTGTTTACTTTCCAAACTTGGGGTTTATTTTATAACCGTGGCCTACCTCGACATTTTTTTCCAATTGGATGAATTTTCGAACTTTAAATGGGAGGGGAGGGTTGGTTAGCCAGCTATTTAATTGGCTGACCGTTTTTTCATTTAGAGAACTATAAGTGCTTGTTAAAACCATAATACTTGGACATAAGTAAGTAGCTACTGATAGATTTAGAAGCAACTCAAGTCCTGCCTTCCTTGGCCTAGTCACTTGTGCAGTCTAAACTTTATCCGATAATAATGAATAATCCAGGAGCCAGCTAGCCACAGTTCTATAACAAAACCCAATAGCCAGAAACACAATGCGACTTAAGCAGCCCCCGATTTGCTGTCTCTAGTCTCATGAAGTATAGTAGGAGAATAAAAGTTTTGTCTTATCTACAACTAGGCGTTTGACTCTTACAGACTTCGGCACCATAGATGGGAGTCAGACCTGTTAAAATAGTTCTTTTTCCTCGCCAAGAAACCAGCGATCGCATTTCCTCAGGGGCTTCAGTGGCAGCCGCATGATTTCACCACCATGTTGCGGTGTTTTTTGAGGATCACGTTGTTGTTGCTGTCATAATAGAGGACAGAGGTTGCGCTGAGCTTGGTGGGAGCACAACAGGCCTTGGGAACAGCCTCGGGCTTCATCAGATGGACCTGTGGAGGCAAACAAGCTAGTGTGAGAATTTTCATTTGTGACGAGTGGCTGCTCCTTGCAGGTTCCAGGCAGGATAAGGAACTTGTAGCAGGGAGTAACGAGCTATCTCAAGGTAAACATGTGGTTTTTCGATTTAGTGAAAAGAAAACGCTTCAAAGAGAGCAGCTCTTACCTGTAAAAAGGCTCTGATTGAATGGGTAGATTATTTTCAGCTTTCATCCAAATATTTATTCTAAACTTTTGGCAGCTCTCGCTGCAGTTTATATTGGACTCATTCTCATGGCTCCACTCCTGCAGGGCAACTCATCAGTTAAACTGAGATTTCTGTGCAGCGCCCTTGTCACGAAATATACTAACCTCAGTTAGAAAATACGCAGGTAAGAGAATGCGGCTTTAAAACTTTGTGTTTTTGTTACCCAGGAATAAAATATTTTGTTTAGATCAACTTCTAGGAGCAAGTGGAAGGTAGCCCCCCCCACCCCCCGTGGGTCTTCGGTGTCCAAACTGAAAATTAATGTTGTGCAAAAAGTACTAAGTACACAACCTTGTCTCCCTTCTGAAAATGACACTGCCTTGACTCATTCTCCGGGTGACAAGGAATTCTTCCAGTAACTCCCCATCTAATGTAAGGCTAGTAGCTTGTAAGTCATTACCCACAGACATGCACCCCTCCCTCACTACGGACCTGCCAAATACATGCAATTCATTTATTTCAGGCCAATTCAGAATCTCCGTTTACAGAAGCTGGCGCTTTGCTGTCACGCTGCACTACTTCAGGACAGAAAACTGATAAAATGAGAGTCAATGCAACTCTAAGATTGAGAAATCAATCACTCGCTAGTCAGGAAATCCCAGAAGTTAAAGCATGTCCTGCCACGTGTAGTGTGCTTGGGAAAATGTTGCATTAGAAAACCTTTCTGCTGGGAATTTCCTGCCTAGTGAGTGCTTTGGTTTCAGAATTATAATGGTGCATTAAATGTCTCAAGATTTTTTTGTTAAGTGCCCATGGTGCCTCCTAATCTTGGGAAAGATGTGTACTCTCATATGTGCACATGGGCAAGAGGGTTCTCTCTTATTGGGCATATGCATCAAGCAGCATTTTCAAGGTGTCCTAAAGGCAGAGACAGCAAATCAAACTGTTTTCAGTCTGGCAAAGGCAACACACCTTCCTGAAAACTCGTTCCAGGTTTTCAAATATTAACCGTATTCTAGTTAACTGTGAGGTTGGGGAGGAATTAGTCAGAATAGGCAATAGTCATTTTCACCACAGTTGGAAACTTTTAACCCTGAGAGATGATTTGTCTGAAAAATCGAGTGAAAAATGGAATCGTACCAGAAAGCATTTTGCAATGTGATAGCTGTTGCAAGTCTGCAAAGCGTGCCATGTGAAACAAAGCTGGCCAATTCATTATTTCCTGTTGATTCCTTGATCTGCCCATGTAGGCAAATCCCGACTAGATTAAAATCACTGCGTCACTCCAACCCCGTTAATAACACAGTTTTTTTTTTAGAAGGATCTGAACTAGACTTCTGAATCCAAATGCCCTCCAACTTGTAGAAGGCCCAGATCCAGATCTGAATTGCGGGGACTGTCTATTTAAAACAAACAAACAAATATAACATCTCACTTGGGGGTCATGAAAAGATTCTTCTGTGTCTATCAGGCCAGCCCTTGGACTGCACTTTTATCCCTCCACTGTGACCTGATTTATACACCAAGTTTCTGACAGCTACTCCAAATGTTAATGATCCTGTGCAGTCCCTGGGCCCCTGCAAGCTATTAATGCACATACACATTAATAAACTACTGACTAGTGACTGCAGGATGGCGTGATTGGTTGCATTCATGCAGGAATCCAGAGGAAAGGCACATTCTCCTTCGCAGTAAAAAGCAGAATATCCTTGTGGTGCAATCACCCAATCCTGCAAAGAGAAAGATTTTTCGATAGTTAAGCAGCAGGACTACACACATTCATTCAGTTCTCCGACATACGCAGGAACAATCAGGCTACTCATAGTGGGGCGAGGGGAAATGTCAACAGTTAGGGTTTATTTTGATTTTTATATTGACTGGAGAGTTCCTCATTCAGGGTCATTGATGGATTTCAGGTTGTATCAGTTCATGTTTTTCTTAGTAACGCCAATGATGTTGTTAAAGCAAGTTCCTGTGAAATCTCCCAGGTAAGATCAAAGTGAGGCAGAGTTCACGTACTCTAAATTGGCTTGTGTTCGTGAAGGAGTGGAGGTGAGCCCCAAGGGTGGGCTACATTCCCATTTTTCCCATTTCATTTTCCTGGGTATGAATTTACTGCTAAAGAAACAAGGGGCGGGGGGTGGAATTACCAGCCATCCGAGGTCTTGAAAGCTGACATAGAGTTCATGCCTCCTGCAAACCTGTCTGCCTTCAGAGACATGAATGTCATCTAGAAAAAAAAGAAGCGGGGGGAGGGGAGAGATGAGAAAATACATGTCACTCAAAATAGCAAACATAAAAATCTCACCGGTATTTGCTAGCACCAGTATAAGGACGGCTGTTCCAAAAGAACAACAGAGTGACATTTAAAGCCCCTCAGCTTAGCCATATCCTTTGTCTTTGACATAGCAGGTGACAGGAGCTGTTTCTGCAACACCCTGACCCATTGGGACCTCTGATTCCAAATCTTAGATACTGATGCTACGTCCAGGCTCACCCGGACCCAGATTCCTCTCAATCTGGATTTAATCATTCAGCTGGAGGATTACTAGAGAAAGCACTGACGGATTCCTCGGATCCCTGCTGCAGCCAGGAGCTCCTCGTTGGGACACTGGTTCTGATTCCAGGAGCACCTGCCCAGCTTGCTGGATTCACCAGCTCCGTGGCAACAGCCAGCAGCGTGGAACCTTCATGCTTCAAAATCCCCTGGGATCTCGGAACGTCTTTTGGCAACTCTAGCTACGCCTGACAATGAAGCCCCACTGGCCTCGAAGCCCCTCTGCTTAGCGAGAAGGCTTAAGAGTTTCTTCAGTTTTTAGACTCGTTCCACTTCTCACAGACGGTAGTGCGTGCGTGGGGGATCTCTTGAAATAATCTGAGCTCACTACCTAGCTGAGTTCCTAGCTTGCCCCCCTCCCCCACTCACATCTCCACCCTACATTTCTGCATTTTTCAAACCTACATGCTTGCCCAGAAAGCCTGGAGAAGCTACAACCCCTAGGAACATTGGCTCCCTTGAAGAATGGGGCCAGAAAACATTATCCCAGACTCTTTGGGTCACCAAAAAAAGTGAAGGCTTCAGATTGGTTCTAGATGTATCACTCTTAGATCAAGGAACAGCGATTCAGCATGGAAAAAATCTAACCTTAATCATTCAGGAATGGGCCCCAAATGACTCCCTAACCCCAGAGAGACTTTGAAAGAAGCATATCTTCATGTTCCTAACCATCATCTCTACTGATGCTTGGCCACGCGTCAAAAACATCTCAGGTTCATTGGGATGCCTTTCAGGCTCTCCTCCACTCTAAGGATGGTTTTGAAGCTGATGCTAATATTAATAGCATACTTAAAGGATTCAGTATTCAGATATACCACTACCTAGAAAGTCTAATAAAGTCCTTTCCTTCAGGAAGCCATTGCGGACAGTACAATTTCTCTGTTGTTTGGCTTCATAATCCACTTAACGGTTCCTATTCTAAAAAAAAAAAAAAAAGCTCTCTCAAAACCTCGTTCATCTGGAACTCACTTGAGGACACATCAGAGCCATGTGTTTCAAGCAGAAGAGAAATTCCTGAAGGAGGGAGGGGCTAACAAAATATACCATGGTTAGCGCAGCAGAGGAAAATGGTATTTTAGATAAAGATCATTTTCTTGACTGTAAATACAGCCTTTGTGCTACCTCTAGCTAGCTGGGTCTCTAACCCAAAGCTCTTACCAAAAATCCCTGGAAGCTTGTTTGGATGCGGTAAGTCGTTCGTTTTCTTGGGCTGCCTCTTCTTTAGCTGCTTGACGGCTCGAGTAACTCGGACCGGATTTTGGCTTGCCCGGAAAAAAGTGACCATGAAAGGTTGCTTGGAGCGTGGCCCGCGCCGACCCAGCAGTCCTGCTGAGCCCGGATCGATGCTCTGCCCTACGATGGGCCGAAAACACAAGTTTGTTCCACCACATATGCAAGTTAGGCTGTAAAACTAAGCTCTTTAGTCAAAGGAGGAGAAAAATAAGGCAGATGAACATTTAAATAAAAAAAAAAAAAATCTATAAAAACAAACCCCAATAAAGTCCCAGGATTTTTCTAGTGTAACATCTCCTGTCACCTTCACCAGTCACTGCATTCTATTATTTCCACTCAGCCAGCCACCTTCCCTCCGTGTGTTCATAATCCAGATTTCGGCATCAAGAGACAAGAGTACCCAGGCTGCCAGGTGCTCCACTGGTGCTCCAACTCTAGCTCTGGCTCTACCATAGACTGGAAGTGCGACCTGCCTCCATACAACACGTTAAAGAGACATTACCCGTCATTGTCCAATCAGAGGACACGCTTTGTGAGCTAAATCGCTCTGCTCGGAAGACCAGACAAACGAGAGTAATAATTCGAATCCAGGATCAAAAGAGAGAAGCAATAATTGTGGGGAGGGTGAAACGGGGTAGAAAAGACAAGGAAATGAGAGATCCAAAGGAAATCCAAACAGCTGCAAGTTCCTCGAATTATTTCAAGTTTTTCAGTCTTTTCTAAGGAAGATAACACTCTCCTCCGAGCTCCTCAAAGTTTCCCTGGTCCAGAATTTCACCATTACAGTTTTGGATGCTCTCCATAGGGCAAGTGAAGCAAAATGGCAGCGCTACATTCAGGGCTAGGACTCCCTCCCACTTTGCATTCATAGAGCCTGGGAGCAGAACAGGTGCTGGCTTCTAAACACGAACATAGGTCAGAGGCGAAGTCTCAGTGGCTCCTAAGTCACTTTTGAAAAATGGGAGTTAGGCTCCTAACTCACTTAGGCACTTCTGGAAAAAATCTCACACCAGGACACGAGACCCCCTGCAAAGGAGGATGGTCTCACGTGTCGGGATCCAGCTTTGGACAAGATGGCACAAGAGAGGTTTCCAAAGGGTTATTGACTTCATTGCAACGTGATGGAATTTAAGCAGGTGCTTTGTTGAATGAGACGAACAGCCAAAGCATCAGCAGTCTGAGGAAGACCTGGGGAGAAGCATTTTCCTCCCTAAACTTCTGATCAGTTGTGCAATGGAAAAACCTTGAAAATCCTCTTGCCATTAAATCCAAATTGGCCCAACCATTGGTCACCAACCTCAAAGGATGGGGAACCTATCCGAGTCCTCATTCAGGAGGACTCATCTGGGCTTCTGTCAATGCAATGAAAATAAAATCAGGTACTGAGAGCAATTCAGCTAGCACCGTTACCGCTATACCTCTACCGCTAACCAACTTAACGGACCAGCTCATGAGTGACTGGCAATGTGATCACAGTCTCCGACGGCAACTGGCGGTACAAAGGGAATCCTCTATGTTTTAAAAGGTCATGTTCTTGGTTGGCAGGCAGAGACTTTCCTTAAACTAAGAGCTATGCATATAAAATAACCCAGGAGCACACAGGCTGAGCAGAAGGGCCATCTGCAAAGGGGAAAGGTAATTTACACAGTTCAGTATTGCGGTGATCAATCTTTACTGTCAGGCCATCCTCAGAACAGCACAGCTCCAAACCAACTCGTCGCAGGAAAAGGACCACACAGTACGAGCAGTCGCTGCAGTCTCTCAGCTGGTTGAATCCCTAGACCCAGATCCTCAAAGGCACCTAGCTCCTATTGATTTGAATGCTGAATATCTCTGAGGATCTGGGCCTGATATGTGGCATCCGTACTGCTGCTAGCGTGGGCAGTTAGAAGAGAGAAAAATCCTGTGATGCAAATTGTTTCAGGCTGACTAAAAAAAACAAACCAACCAACCAACCAGGGGCCAGATCCTCAGCTAGCGTAAACTGGCATAGTTCCACTGAAGTCACCAGTTTACACCAGCTGTGGTTCTGGCCCTTGCTGTTTAGAACTAGTGTTGATTTATCCACCCACCCACCCTGGGCAGTTTCCAGACAGAGAGGACACATTTACTCAAGGTTTTGTGCACCACCACAAACCAAAATAGCCTGATCTTAGCAGCATGCTTAGTGAAAGGGAAATATTGTGGAGAGAGGGGACCAACAAGAGCAATTACGTTTTCCTAGCCTGAAGGACGAGCTCTGAAGTACACCTTTTGAGGTAGCACTTGGAATGGATTTTATCCATGGGTGAAATTAGGAAAGGTTAATCCAGCGAAACACACGTGAGTATCCCTTCAGGCAAGGATTACATTAAACCGTACACTAGGAAGTGCATTAACATCAATGCCTTAAAAAGGCATTGATGCGAGCTCTATATTGGATATTCTCCTTACACCCAGGTGCATCACACCAAGATCTAGCTAGATTTTTAAAAGCAGCAGGAATTTCAAATCCTTCCAGTGCCTGAGTTAGCCTTACCGTCATCGGTCTCCACATAAAGCCGCAGGCCCAGGTTGTGTTTACGGTTTACTAACCAGTGGTTGCTGGCAGCTGTGACATCAAAAACCAACCAGCCTTCAGCCCCGGCTTGGAGCTCCTGAAGATCTAACAGGAACAAGTCAGATTCCCTACAGAAACGGAAAAAATAGATGAGCAAAATCAACTGAACGTCGATAACATGACCTGCTTAGATTGTCTGCTCTTTGGGGCAGGGTCTGTCTTTTGGTTGTGTGTCTGTGCAGCGCCGAGGACACACAGGTTCTGAGCTGTGGCTACGACTTCTAGCTGCTCCTGCAGGTTTCAAAGTAGCAGCCGTGTTAGTCTGTATCCGCAAAAAGAACAGGAGTACTTGTGGCACCTTAGAGACTAACAAATTTATTTGAGCATAAGCTTTCGTGGGCTACAGCCCACTTCCTCGGATTCTCCCCAATGTCCAAGATTGGTCCATATGGGACAGGTATACCGCTACCTATTAAATTACTGCCACCTATTGAAATACATGGGAATGATTTCCCCACAGATGAAAAAACAGAATCAGAAATTCTCATGTCCCAGTTGTACTCCGGCTTGCACATAAACTGAACATTGTGAAGCGAAAAAGCAGCACTACAGTTTCGGCTCATAAGAACCCAGATTTGTGTCTAGCTCTATATAAGAAAAACCATTTTCTCTGTTTCCAGCTCAAAGGCACCGGTCGCTTTCACTGCACCTGTTGGAATACTCCTTCATGATCTCGTAGATGCTGATGTGAAGAGTTTTGTTGACATCACGAGTGAAACTTCGCAGCTTATAAATTCGGAACTCGGCAGCCGTTACAGATTCTCCAGTTGGAATCTGGGTCAGGTCAAATCGAAATTCCTTCCAGTAAGGCTTCTGGTAGAAGATGTCTCTGTCATGTTCAACTGGAAAATAAAGGATTGGGGAAAATGAGGATATGAATGATACCCCGACCATTTATCAATCTTACCAGCAGACCATTGTTACACCCCAATCTGATGAGAACTGGGTTTTAATAGGATCCTCTAGAATTCATTGACTTTGCATTCGGTGACAAAAATCTCCCTAATACCTTGCTTTTTTAGCACTCTCTATGAAATTGCTCATGAAGGATACCTGTTTTTAACTTATTCTTAAGGCTCCGTGTCTGTCATGGAGGTCGCAGAAGTCACGGATTCCGTGACGTCTGCAGCGGCCTGAGCAGCGGTCCCTGGGGTGGCCAGAGCAGTCGCTGCTCCAGCGGATCCCAGCAGCTGGTGCCCCTGGCCCCAGCCCCCCCGTGCGCCCCTCCTCCTGCAGCAGCAGCCACCCCAAGATTTAGTCACAGGTATTTTTAGTAAAAGTCATGGACAGGTCACGGGCTGTAAATTGGGGAGAATGATGCCAACTTCTTTAGGAAAGTGCTTTGAGATCTACAGATGAAAAGCACTAAGAAGATCTAGGGGTAAAAGTTTTATTTGGGGATTTTAAATTTAGCTAGGAGGAGGCAGTTTCGTCTATGTAGATCTTCATGGGCTTCCCATCTCTAGACCTGACACTTATCTCGCTCTCCTCCCCCCATTTCTTATTAAAGAAGTGCCCCCTGCCTGCCAGTATCGGCCTGAAAAACTGCTGCACGTCATAGAGAATCCTCAAATGGTTTTGACTTTTTGCCTACATCATGCTGGGTGCCCCATCCAGGCTACCCCATCCAGGGAGGCCCCCTGCACAACAGGTATTCTCAAGGAGCTGTTTCCACCCCTTTCTTCAAGGCCCTTTTCTTCTCTGCAGGTAAGGTTCCCAGACCCCTTACAATGGGTCCTCTTTGCAGCCTGCCGGAGGCAGAACCAGACCCACCAGTCAAGGCAGGATGGGCAGGGCCGTGCTCCTGAAGAACCTCCCAGTTTTTGTTCTACCTCCTTAGCCGTTGGCCAACTTTCCCAGACTTCCTGCTGCAGAGCAGCAGCTGAACGCTAACAAACCCCAGAGCAGTGTGGGATGTTTGTTACTCCTGATGTTCGGCTTCCTGGATCCTAAGCTTTCACTGAGCTGTTGTTTAGACTCTGGGGATCTACAGAAACCCCCTCTGCTGATCCTGAATGCTAACTGGCTCCCAGCCCAAAGGCCCAGAGAATCCGGCAGAAGACATACTGCTCCCAGCTGGCAGGCAAGGGCACTAACATGTGGCCATTGTAATATCAGAGGTAACCAAGCACCCTTCCTCTATAGCTGATATGCATGCTACAATTCTGTTGGCTGCAACAAGTCGGATAGGTGAGTGAAGCTGGACTTGTGTCAAGAATTCTCATTGATAGATGACGTGGCCCAGCTGTCCTTGCTCTGTGGCCACATGCTAGCTCAGGTATCACTGCTTGCATGCCTCCCCCATGGCACTACTGCCTTGGAGGCACTGCCCATCTAGGCGGCACCATCAGGGAAACTGAGGCAGGAGTGCAGGGGTAGCCCTTAAGCCATGGGGACATTGGGACTGGGCTCCTTCCTCCCCACTCACTTCAAATAGCACCAGTCTCCCTAACACAGCCCCCTTCTCCAAACACACCCTTTCCCCCCACCCCAGACCCATGCACATGCCGTTTCCCCTTGCCCTCCCAAATCTCCACTTTCTCCCCCTCAACCATAATATTTCTACTCATCCGTTTGTCCTCTTCAAACACAACTCCCCCCATCTCCCGGCTCTTTACTGAGGCCATGAGCAAAAGACTTTAAAAAAAAATGCATAGTTAAAAATCAATGTAATCTAATCCGGGACCACAAACTCAAAATGCATGAGTCCTAACTGTCTGCTTATTGGATGGCTTCACTATGGGGCAGAGTTAAGGTTGCTAGGGTACCTTAACATCGTCAGATTTCTGTTAATTTTAACCCGAACTCTAACTTCCTGGGTTTGTAATGCCTGTTTGTGGAATAACTGCAACATCCCTGTAATGTTATTTACCCTCATGCTACTGATATGTCTCCCAACCTTAACTCCATCTTAACACAGTATTTTGCCTGGTTACGGCTGAAAGATGTGCCTATTTAAAAAGGCCATGCGTTCTCATGGCAGGAATGGTTTCCTAAAAGGACTGTTACACTCTTAAGGTGACCAAAGGGCAAGTGTAAAAAAATCGGGATGAGGGTGAGGGGGTAATAGGTGGCTATATAAGAAAAAGCCCCCAAAATCGGGACTGTCCCTATAAAATCAGGACATCTGGTCACCCTATACACTCTTGAGAGTCTAAGCTGTATTTAAAAGGTCAAATATTGCAAAAGTGGAAACACACACACAATTTGTTTTAAAAGTTCTCTTCAGATTAAGAGATTATTTAAAAGAAATTCTTATTAATTAAAAATTATTAGATTTGGGGACCATTAAAAAGGGAGTCTTAAAGCTCTTTCAGCCATTCTCCCTCCGACAGAATTTGAGTCCACAAACTATTTGCAACACATCTGCACCATCTACTGGATACTACAGGAATGCAACTCCGAAATCCAGACTGAGGCTAGTACATGATCACCAGATGTATGGCTTGTAGCCAGTGAAATATGGATCACCTAAACCCCTGGGATTTAGGCATAAAAGCCAAATGGCCACATGGTCTCTCTCTCTCTTTGATTTGTTCACTTTCCTGTATAAATAAAACACCCTGGAAGAAAGAGGTTGAAGACACTAACTCTGGAACCTGCTGTATGCCCTGCTGCAAAACTAAAACAATTGAATTCTTGCTCTCCTCCTCTCTGGACATCAAGCAGCAAAGTGCAGAGCAGCCAACCCTGAACTTGCTCCAGCAAGTTACAAAGGCATCAACAGGACCCTAGTAAAACCACAGCAGATTATTCATCGATTAACGCATTCCACAGCCAGACAGGACCATTGTCATTATTCAGTCTGCCTTCCTGCCTAACACAAGCCACAGAACTTCCTCCAAATAATTCCAGTTTGAACTAGAGCATCCAATCTCAATTTCAAAATTGCCCATGATGGAGAATCCACCACGATCCTTGGTCAGTTGTTCCAATGGTTAATTACTCTCACTGTTAAACATGTCCACCTTATTTCCAGTCTGAATGTGTCTAGTGCCAACGTCCACGCATTGGATATTGTTATACATTTTTCTGCTATATTGAAGAGCCCATCATCAAAATATTTGTTCCCCCTGTAGGTGCTTATAGACTGATCAAGCCACCCCTGAACCATCTCTTTGTGAAGCTAAATAGATTGAGCTCTTTGTGTTTATCATTGTAAGGCAGGTTTTCTAATCCTTGAATCATTCTCGTGGGTCTTCTTTGGACCCTCTCCAATTTATCAACCCCCTTCTCGAACTGTGAACACCAGTAGAAACCCAGGAACCTCTAAAACAAGCAAGCGAGCAGTACCCTCCCTTCAAACCTGCCACAGGACAACCTGGAATCAATGAGGTTATTGGTGAGTTTTTGTTAACTTTAGTTAATTAATTGGATCGTTAAATTGTTAAATTAATAAGATTTGGGTCAGCCAGAGCCTGATCTCAGACTGAGGCGCTTGGTGCTACTGTAATAAAATAATAAGAATAATGATAATCAAACATTGACCCATCTCCTCCTGTGAGCCCTGATAAACCTGGCAAAGAGCAGAAAGAAGAAATCCTGTTTAAACAAATGATTTGATTTTTCACTAGAAGGTCTTGCATAGGACTGAGAACAACAGTCTCTTCCTTCTATTTTATGAAATGTGTGTGGGAACGTCTATATATTTTTGAACCCAAGTTCTTTTGGGAGCACATATGGGAAGCCACATGGGAGTTGTACGTGGCCTGTTTCCCAGCCAGTCAGCTGTACTTTCAGTTTAATACTCATGTGAGAAATTCTATCAACGCTCAGACACGGTGGGTGAGGGAATATCTTTTATTGGACCAACTTCTGTTCTACAGGTTACCTGCAGAAGAGTGCTCATCTCTCTCACCAACAGAAGTTGGTCCTGGAAAAGCTATTACCTCCCCTGCCTTGTCTCTCTAACATTCTGGGACCAACAAAGCTACACCACCACTGCATGCAACATCAAACTGATACATTTTCATTTGCTTTTATTATTGCCACACAACAATTTGGAAAAAATCAAAGAAAAAACCTGATCTGTTCGTCCTTTTCTCCCCCAGCTGTATAACTTGTTTAGGCCTGGTTGACATTTTCCCATTAAAACTGCTTTTAGACAGAAAATTATGTTTTTGGCACAAAGAACATTTTCACAGAAAGCATCTGCTTTCTGTGGAAATGCAGCATTTTGTTGAAAAACCAAAGACTTCCTGGTGTTTTGAGGAAAAGTCAAAAGTTTCCACACACACACAAATGTGATCAGCTCTAATCTTAGTGTATACGCTATCTGATATAAAGATTCTCTTTTAACGGTGGGTTAGAAATACCATTGTCTGTAATGAAGGGATAGAACTAATTGATTAAAAACCAAAAAAGTCCTATTTCTGAAATACAAGGAGCTTCTTACACAAACCCAGTGTTAAAATAGTGAGCAGTTCTTCTTGGAGTCAGCCAAAAAGGGGTATTAAAATGAATTCTTTATAAAAATCAAATAATAATAATACATTAAGCAAATTAGTATTAAAACCAAAAACTATTAAACCAATCTAGTTTGCAGATTTCATTTTAAAATCTAGCTGGCATCCCAATATATTATTAATTTAGAAACCATTCTCACCTACACATCCACGCAACCGTAAACAACTTAAAAACACATCTCTCCAAGTCACTTCTAATTAACGAAAGGTTTAAATGAAAAGTTCTAGAGCAATTAATATTTATTCAGTTTCAGTAATGAATAAATATGTTTAAGGGTTAGATGGTTTTGAAAATTTTACCCTAAGTGATCTAAGATCCTAAGTCCCATTTTCAAAAATGATTTAGGCACTTAGGATTCTAAAGTCTAGCAAAGTCA